ATATGCCTCTTAAGAGGCATATTAATAAATACAGAGTATCTGTAGATGACCAGAGAATGGTGAAAGGTCTGAAAATCATGTGATACAAGGCATAGCTGAAGGAAATGGGGATTACTGAATTTTGCAGACGGGAGAAATTCAGCTAAATAAAATAAAACTAAAGCATGTTAACTATTTTCTATTACTTAAGGGAATATTATCATGATTTTATACATCTGGAGAGGGGGAGTATGATGGTCCCCAGCTCTTTACAAAACTTTACAGAAAATACTTTTTCTGCTGTAATCTTGTGGAAGAAGGTAATCTTTTTAGTACCCTCACTCCACAGGTGGGAAGGACAAGCAGATGGGCTTGTCTATTCCTCACTGGCTCCATAATGTGTTTCTTGTTTCAGCTCTGACTAATGAGCTAAATACAGTCCATGGTAGGAGTGAGGTAAAGTGTTCTGCCTAAGAGTCCTACTATCTTCTTTTCACAATTCATTAGCTGAAGTCATCTTTATTTTTTTCTTTCCTTCATCCTTCGTAACCAAGTTTGATATGTCTATTATATTTCTGAGCTTCTTAAAAAAACCCCCAACAACTTATAGTCTTCATGTCTGAAATTATTCGAATATCCTTCCTTTCTATCCTCCCCCAACTCCATCTCAACTATAAAATCAAGCAGTGAGAAACAGCTTTTTAAAAATTTTTTTGATAACACTTCTCTTAAGAGTCTTTTAAAATCCCCAGAAGTTTCCATGTCTTTAAGGCTTTTTTTCCCCTTCTGAATATTCCAATCTCCTTCTCTATGGCAGACTGTACCTTCTGATCTAGCTAAAAAAAATTATCCTTAACACATTTGGAATGTTCTACCTCTTCATGACAAACTCCCTCTCTGCAACTGCTGTTTGTCCTTCATTCTTGAAGAGAATCATGACATCAGGAAGGTGATGCCATGACTTGCAAGTGAATTGGGTTTAAGTGAGGGAGGGCTGTGCAAAGTCACCAGCCTCACTTTCTCCTCCAGAATCATTTGGATCCAGTGGTGATATACAGATCAAGATGACTGGAGATGGCCCCAGATACAGTGGGAGACTTTGGCCTTCGTAAGCCAACATCTTCACCAGGTCTCAGTCTGACTAAGGCAATGACCATTCAGTGATTAAGGCTAGTTAAGAAGTGAGGCAAAGAATAGCCTCTTTTACCTAGTTTAAAAAAAAAAATCAGTTGGGAAGGGGGGAGACCCTCAGGGTTTTTGGCCAAAACAGAAAATCGCTATTTACATTGTTTGGGCCCTGATGGTTCTCTCTGCAATAAAGTAGAGTGAAAAGAACAGTGAATCTATAATCACAAGTACCTGAGTTTGAATCTTGGTTTGGTCTCTTAATCTTGGACAAGTCAGCGGGCCTCAGTTATCTTATCCTTGGATGAGGATGGAGAAGACTGTATCAGATGATTTCTAAGACCCCTTCAAGGTATAAATCTATGATTATCCCTTTCTGTAAACATTATTAAGCCTTCCTGGCCCACACCAACTCAGTATTCTTATTGGTTTCTCTCTCAGTAGTTGGATATGTAATTGTTTCCATTTATGTTGGGTTTTTTCCCCTATATTTCTAACTAAACAGCCTTAGGGCAAAGGGTACATCTTTTAGTTATTTTTTTAAAATTCCAAATTAACAGTGCTTAATACAGTGCATGTACATGTTGATCACTTATCATCAGGTATGCTACTTATTTAAGCTTTTTCTCACTTTCTAATCAGTTATTTGCTTTTGGTCATATTTCTTCTTAGTGCAGTATGATTATACTGATGAAAGAAGAGGAGATATGTTATAAAACTAATTTTGGCATTGGTTGGTCAGAATATCTGGGTCAGTCTTTTTTTTTTTTCTTTTTGGTGAGGCAATCAGGGTTAAGTGACTTGCCCAGGGTCACAGAGCTAGTCAGTGTTGAGTGAATGAGGCTGAACTCAGGTCCGCCGGACTCCAACGCCAGAGCTTTATCCATTGCACCACCTAGCTGCCCCAAGACTACCATTCTTTTACCAAATTAATAGTTAAAATGAGGGTTTTGGCATCGTCTTTACAGTTGCAATTCTCTCTACTACACACTATGGAAGGCAGGAGTTGGCCACATAGTAAGTGTTTTATCTATAAATGAGTAAAGGAGAATAAGATAAAAAAAAACCTCAGATTCCTAAAATAATTACATGTTAGTATTACAAAAGTCTTACCTTGTTGAGTATTTTGTTCTTGAGTTCGATTCACAGTGAGGTCTAGGGGGCCTTCCTGCTCTTCCTGAAGGGAGTTTTCTATTTGATTCATTTGGATACCTTTACATATTAGACTTGGTCCAACTGAACCATTTCTATTCTCTTGAATTTTACCACTTTTTGAAATGTATTCAATTGCAAACTGACGTATCATCTTTTTCATTAATTCCTGAGCAACTAGGGGAATGTTAGGATCACAGTTCTGAGGAAGATCTAGGAAAAAAACATACATATAACAAGCATTAGAAAATAGAAATATTAAATATCTGTATTTCTATATATAGTTTTTCAAAATTATAAATCATGACTGAAAACTTTTTAGAATTAATACATAGCTTTCAGTGGTCTCAGAGGCCTTCCAAAATAAATTTTAAATTGAGGTTTAATTAATTTTACATTAACATATCAACCCAAAACTTGGAATATCTTCATCATCATCACCATATCATCATCACCACCATCTTCGTCAACATCAACATTTGGAAGCAAGTGTACATCACTCTTTAAAGATTAAAGGCAGAGAACAAATAGGACAGAAACAGCATAGACGGCCCAAAGTTTATAAAAAAAAGTTTTCAATAAGTTGTCAACAAGTACAAATAGCCAATAAGGTTGTTTCTATTGACAGTTTTTACAAAAATTATTACAAGACTTTTGCAGGAAGTATATTACATGAATAAAAATATTTTACAAATCAAAAATATAATGCAAGATACTACAAAAATTTCTGAAATTTATCTCAAATTTTAGTGTAAGAAATCAGAACATGAAATCTGCATATAAACTGATTACTTCATAGAAATACCAATGAAAAATTCCAAATAATTTAAACTACAGTTACTTAATGATAACGCTCATCAAACTAGACAAGAAAAAGTAGAAGGGTTATTAGACAAATAACCTTTCTACTACATATTCCTTGCACCTAATATAGGTTCTTGCTAAAATTAGTATCTATAAGGAAACCAAACTAATACAATAACAAATTAATCTAATATAACACTATAAATCAGCTCCTTAGAATCTTAGCTTAGAATCTATGGTCCATGCCACTAAATTAAAATGATAACTGAGAAAAAAATAACATATTCAAATTTAATTTCTTATATTACTTATAAAATTACTGGCTATTTCTAGTCCAAAATTCTTTGTCTTCTATAAAACACTGGAGCAGAATTGTTTATAGAGAAGCAATCAAAACTTTACTATTGTAAAGTCACTATTGTAAATTGTCACTCAGGGAAAATGTCTGGAGGTTTTTCCTAAACCAAATCATGCTTTATAAAGAAGCAAAGTTTTTACACTGATTTTTTAAAGTTCTTTTTCTCTTATGTATTGCTGTTGGGGGGGTAAATACCTCCACTTATTTTATTAAAAAATACTATACACAAGAATTGAAATGTTTGTAAATACAAACTGTGCTTATTAAATGGTATAAACTGAGGAAACCTGTGTGGTATTTCCCCTCCCTAATGTTTCAAAGGTAAAAGGCTTCCATATGATTCGATCAAGGATTTTTGATTCTCTATTTAAATAGCCTACATAAAAAACTATTTAAAAACCACTTAAGTACACTCTGCCCTGATTTACAAAACATTTCAGCAAGACATAACTGCAACTACACTTTAACAACGGATTAAGAATTCTTGCCTTGAACTATTACAATGGGAAGCAATAGCTAGGAGAATACCTAAGAGAAATAATTGGTAAAAGATTAACAGGACCTACTGTGTAGATTTGTTTGGTTACAGTAATGGTGGTAAATGGATTAAATAAGATAAGTGAAATATCAAATCAAAGACAGTTAAATTAACAATGAAGAAAATGGGAAGGAAAAAACAAAGGCTATAAACTAGTTTTTAAGACTTCTCCCTACCCTCCTCCTTCACTGTCCCCACCCCCCACTCTCCCATTACCGATTCATGTTAAAGGACAAAAAACAGTATTAGCCTATTTCTTGAAATAGTCTGATGTTGTTAGTCAAGAATATACATACATATATAACAATATAACATATAATAGATATTATATATGTAACATAATATATATTTATATGTACATATATAAAAAAACTCATTTAGGTTCACGGTTTTAAAAATTCACTTTACTAAGATCATATACCCTTGCCATTAAAGGTCCCTTGCAGTCTACCTCAGTAAGAATAATTTCCTGATTAGTAGTATTTGAAGACCTCTTTGGACATTTTTTACTCTCCAACTGATTCTCAAATAGTACAATTCCAGAGCATATGGCAGTGAGATTTCGCCTTTAAACTATTAGTCAATTCACTCTGCCAGTTTGCTGAGAAGATATTTTACAGATAGAAAAACTGAAAAATTACATTTTTGAATAGGTAAAAAGTCATTCATATTGAATGAAAATAAACATTAAATCTGCAGAGAATAGTTAATAGTCTCTTTCTCATACTACCATCAATCTGGGATAGCGGAAAGAGTGCTAGCTCTCAAGTCCAAGTTCTCATACTTAGTAGATTCTATTATTACTAGAGTGCTAGGGGCAAACTAGGGATAAAGGAAGTGATGGGGTTTGCCTATTGGTGAAAGATACAGTAAGAGAATCCCATATTGCTTAGCTGTAGCTACCCAGTGTTAAATGGCTTTGAGTGGTACCAATACAGATGGCTCAACCAAAGGTCTAGGCCAATTTTCCTTATTTGACTGTGAAGAGAGATTTACACCTATCTTCCTAGATTTACTATGGAATTTTTCCTAGGGAATTTACTAGGAAATGTTTAAAGCTGTGGTAACTATTATAAATCAATCACAAGCTACCCTAGGGAAACAGCTGAATAAGACATAGTATTAAAAGATTACAGGACCAATTCCTTAGTGTTAAGAAAAGGCCACAATCAAATTCACTGCTGGGCCATTCAAAGAAGTTGGGTGACTAAACAATGAGTTGGGGATGATAGATTGCATTTGTGTATGAATTAGTCATGCTTTTTCAAGGGAAGAAAACTTTAGTAAAACCAATATATATGTATATGAGCTACAGGGAGATGATAGGAGCTATCATCTAAAAACAGAATTAATCCATTGCCAAGAATATGTGAAAATTTATTATCTTCTTTTACCTTCTTTCCTTCTCTTTTCATTTCTATCTAATAACAGGGTAGTGACCAGTCTTGGTGAAGATGGCTGATTAAAGAGGGTAAATGGAAAAATGAATTTTTCTTAAAGCACACAAGTTCTCCTCAAGACACTGTATGAAAACTATTGGTTGTTATGAAATAAGCCTTATTTAAAATCAAACTAGGACAGCTAGATGGCACAGTAGATAGAGTGCTAGCCTTGGAGTCAGGAGAACCTGAATTCAAATCTGGCATCAGAGACTTATTGTGTGACCCTGGGCAAGTCACATAACCTTGTGTGCCTCAGTTTTCCTAATCTATAAGTGAGCTGGAGAAGGAAATGGAAAGCCACTCCAGTATCTTTGCCAAGAAAACTCCAAATGGGGTCAAAAAGAGTCAGACCCGACTACAAAAACTAGAATGCCAGTAGTACTGGTTGCTATTCTAGGTCAACAGCTGGAAAACGGGGCAGAGTACTTTGAACACTAGAGTTTATTTGCAGGTAATATCTTCAAGTTAAAAATAAGTATAAAAGGATTCTCCTACTGTAAAGAATGGGGGTAAAATGGCATGGAATAAGATTCTAGAAAATCCTCAGGGACATAGAAATAAAAATACCAATAATTAATGTGCAAAACTTTAACAATCTGGAAATAATGACTGTCAAATGAGCCTTGTTTATTTATTATATATATTTTTCATATTTACCTACAGACATCTGAAAACAGGCATTTTGTTCCTCTTCTTTTTCTTGGATCTTGTGTCCTGCATTCTCTCTGATATTCTTACTAGGGGACACATAATATTTTCTATGGTATCTGGCTTGGCACATGTATGTGGGCAATTTTCTTCCTTCCTCTCCATTTTAAATTTTAGTACTCATGAACAGATTCAAAGTGATAGTGTGTGCTCTATCTCTAGTCAAGAGTTCCTAATTTTTGTATCTTAAGCCTCGGTTAAAAAATACAAATCCTAGTGAAGTGAGCAGAATCAGGTGAACACTGTACACAGTAACAGTAACATTGTGTGATGACCAACTTTGACAGACTTAGCTCTTCTCAGCAATGCAATGATCTAAGACAATTCCAAAAGCCTCATGACAGAAAACGCTGTTCACGTCCAGAGAAAGAAATATGGAGTCTGAATGCAAATCAAAGCATACTTTCTCTTTTTTTCCCTTTCTCGTGGTTTTCCCCTTTTGTTCTGATTCTTCTTTCACAACATGATTAATGTGGAAATATGCTTAATGTGATTGTACATGAATAGCCTACATCAGATTGCACGCCATCTTGGGGAGGGGAGGGAGAAGGAAAAAATTTAAAACTCAAAATCCTATAAAAGTGAATGTTGAAAACTAAAAATAAATAAATTTAAAAAAAATACAAATCTTCCTCCCAGACAATATTTCCTTATCCAGCTCTTGGATATGTTTTGTTTTCTGAGGCTCTGATATCTGACTCCTTCAGCACTGGCAATGAAAACACCACCACTGATCCTACAGTTTTTAACTTCTTTTCCAACATATGAGAATCTAGAGCTGCAAGGGACGTTTATAGATTATCGAGTCTAATCCTTTTATTATACTGGTGAGGAAACGAAGGTTGGAAGAGAGATGAGGTGACTTACCTATTGTTACCTAGTAAATAGAAGAGATGGGTTTGATCTCATAATCCCTAGCAATGCTTTCTAGTTTATTGCTGATGATGTTGTCATGAATCAGAGTAGGAAACCATACTCAGGCAGACAGAAAACTTACCAACTGTCTATCTCATTAACTATTATTGGGAAAATCTTCAGCTATTCCACTCTTCCTTTAACCAACAGTGTATAGTCTTTGTCCTGATGGTACCTTAGGATCTTCATAATATTTTGGAGCATGAGATGATATTCTTTTTTAAAAAACCTTTTAAGAAGAAGCAATCATCAAAACTACTTGGTACTGGCTAAGAAATAGAGTGGTGGATCAGTGGAATAGGTTATGTACACAAGACACAGGTTAGGTACTGTTTGATAAACCCAAAGACGCTAGCTTCTGGGATAAGAACTCACTATTTGACAAAAAATGCTGGGAAAACTGGAAAATAGTATGGCAGAAACTAGGCATAGGCCAACATCTTATACC